GCCTTCGGTAACTCAAATTAGTTCCTTAAAGAAGTTTTCATTAAACAAGATACGGAATAGGAAAAGCACTTCACCGAACGCAACGCCAGAAGGACGTAATAGGATAAATATTAAAATCGAAGAGTTCGCTGTCTCACAAATATTTTAGCTTCTAAGTGCCTATACAAAACCGGATGCATTATTATCAAACTCCACAGCCTTTTCTTCTCTCATTCCGATGGAAGCAAGCTTCAAGAACTCGCGCATTCTAGAAACGTGTTATGAAATGAGCACACAGCAGCATTTAGGATTTACGAGATTGTAGGACAATAAAATCCCGTAACGCGATTTTTTTTTTTTTTTTTTTGCACAGCCTTTTAATTTTTTTTCTTTCGTGCAAGCCGCGACAAGCGCAATACTGGTTCGTATGTCAAGATTCATAGATGCAGCGTTTGTCAAGATTCATGGATGCAGCGTTTATATTCCTAAGACTGAGTGGAGAAGAAAAATGTGTAAGCGAGGTGTGTGTCAGTTGACGGCACTTAAAAAACAAATGGCATTGATAGCACATTCATTGTCAACAGCGCGTGGCCGAACCGTTTGACATGAGCCGGTAACCGTTATTTTTTTTCCGGTTCAGTTCCGGTTCGGGTTCATTGCAATAACAATATAACGGTTCGGGTTCGGGCTCGGGTTTAGTTTCGGAAAAATTACCAGTTCGGTTCCGGTTTTCAGTTTGGTTCGGTTCCGGTACGACACCCTGATCAATACTGCTGGCTCGCTTGAGTTTAAGCAGGATTGCACAACACATGAACATAAAAAAACACAAAAAAAACCCGGAATAGCACTAGAAGGAGCTATAAACACATGCTCACTGACAGAGTGAGAGGCTGTGCCTTTCGAACGCCCGGCCTTTAGCACACGCTCTCCATGCCTTCCGCCACACCTTGGCATTGCGAGCAACCTTGAGGCACACCAGATGCCGAAGAGTTTTCAAAGGTAGAAAGCTCACGCTGTAGGCGGGACAACTGAAGCTCCTCCCTGCCATTGTCACCTTGTCCGGGACTATAGAAGAGATCAAGTGCATTAGTAACAAAATATCACAAGGGCGCAACTTTCGAATTAGCAACGTATGCTCTGGCTCTTGGACTAACATCTGTATTTTTTTGGCAACTGATTCCACGCAGTTATTGTCCTAATAAAAAAGTAAAATTTAAATGTCATTTTACGCTCTAAACTCCCTGATGATGTTTCCATGGTTAGAGACAACCATTTGCTCGTGACACTGGAGTTATGTAAGGAGAGATTTGTTAGAGCCAAACCATATTATATTGTATACAAAAACTTTAACCTCCTTTCTGAGCACTGGGTTTCAAAAAGTTTCAATACCTAGCAATCTGACCTCTTCAATCACGCTGTCTCTTACCGGTTGTGCACTATTCTAGCTGCAGTCCTCTGCATTTTTTTTTAAGTTCAGACATGTTTCCCACTCTGTAGGGGTCCCATAGACGGGAAGCATTTTCCAGGCTTGGCCTGACCAATGTTTTGTAGGTTTTTATGAGGGAGACAGGGGGGGGGGCTGCTATTTTATTACAATGCCAGATGTACTACGATGTGGGCATTGCACAGGCTATCCGTACACAGTTGCTACTATGGACAACCTGTTGTACTCTGGATTTGCACTTGCTTGGTTTAAAGATATACCATATGTTCCAGACTATAGTCTGCAGACTATTCATATTTAACAGTTGAAAATTCATCTGATGCGGACTATCTGCAAGTGCGGACAATACAATGATTTGTTTTTTCTAGATCGTTCACTCTAACAAGCCGTGAAGGATTTTATGATTAACGGACTATATTAAGGTTGATTTCAGTATGATAAAGCTTCTTTGTGAGCTAATACAGTAGGCATTTGTCAAGGTGTGCTGTGTTTGATACTTTTCAAGTTCTGGCTAGGCACTAAGTGCGGACTATGCATGGGGTGCGGATTATGTACCAGGTGTGGACTATCTAAGCAAATACTTTTATTTTTGACCTAAAATTTGCCCCTGCGGACTATGCACCGGGTGCAGACTATAGTCCGGAAAATAGGGCACTTTGATGAAAATTGAAATTTCCCGCCGTGTTCAGAAATAGGTTGAATACGATCCACAATATCCGTGAATGACAATTGCACGTTTGAATGAGAGCAGCCAGTGGAGAGCACACGACATTCGGCACAATCGTGACGTAGCCTGTCTTGATACGAGCAAAGCTGCGGCGAGGCTGACGTCGACAAGACGATCGCTAGCAGGGCATCTGGCCATCGCCATGTCTTATCTCGTGTCGGCAAGTGCGTGCAATTACAAGCTTGCCAAAGCTATTTTCACTCTGCACATGCACGCATGGGGCTCCGGTTAGGCGCCATGCTTGCAATTGTCTATAGTTCTAGGGTAAGACAGGCATCGTCAATACCTGTCAATGTTCCTAGACAAAAGAATTACAATTACAAAAAAGGCTTTAGTGACATTGACCAGCGGCCATTTGCTAATCATTGAATTTGTTTTAAAACCCCTTTTTGCGTCTTTTTGAATTAAAAGATTGGGGTATACATTGTGATACTGCTCCCTTTAAAACACATATCGACCAAGAAATAAGCACCGAAGTTTCGTTGTAGTGTTCCTTTAAGACTTTTTCTTGTGACGATGGAACGAAATTGACTTCAAAAGAATACCTTGCTGTGCTGTGATAATAGTATCTTCTCTCTTTGTTATCAAGTTTCTAAGAAACAAGTGACCAGATGGATACTTGTTTCTTGTGTTCTGTGAACATTGTACTTTGCAAGCACCATGATCTGGAAACATTGTACACATTAGCAATAAGGGGAGGCAGTATCTGTCAAGCTGCTGTAGAGACCTAACTACAGTGGGCCCAAGAGGTTGAACCTATTTTAAATTAATTGCAGAAATTTAGTCTTGCAAGGTGTGACGCTGTACTCTACTACAAACGTGGGACAAGATGTCTTTTTTGGTGATAATTTGAGAGTGACTCTCAGCAGTCAAAAGTTGCGAACAGGAGAAAGAAATGTTTTTGTGTTATATTAGTTCTTTTTTCACATCAAATTCAACCTTAACAATGACAATGATTGGTTTTTCTTCCTACCCCATTTTTGTTCCATCAGTGTCCCAGTGATCCAATGCCTTATCTTTTCTGATGTGAAATATGTTTTGTAACTTTTGATTGAAGAAAGCTTTTCTGACATTTGTTTTCCAAAATAAATGCACCTTACGGTAAATGAAAGGGCCATACCTCACGAGGCCAATTTTGGTGATTAATATAAGGTGTGTTTGCTCCATTTTTCTTTTTTTCATTTTATGTGCATAACAATGCTAATGATTAATTAAATAAAGGTTATTTGCTACTGTTGGGTGTGTTTTAGCCAAAGTGAATAAAAATCATGATTTCTTTTAAAATAAATATCCACAATTTCTTTAATTTAAATCAGCTTTTCTTAGTGGAACTAGAAAATATTGGTATTTACCACTAGATGTATTTTTAAACATAGGAGATTGATTGATCTATCTATTCATCCGATCACTGATGACAGTCTGGAAGAAAAAATTACTGTCAAATCAAAGTCTAATTAACAACTTTTAATTGATGTAATCCCCGACCCATTGGGACAAGACAAGCCTGATTTTTTTTTAGTTAAAAAAGCTTTATTTGTTTTGTCTTTCACATTCATATTTGATTACAAAAGGACACTACTTTTCTAGTATTAATTTCTTGCTTTTGCATTTTGATTTTGTTGCAAAGGATGTTATGTGATAGATGAACGAAGTGTAAGGTAGAAATCAAGCTCAACGTTTTGGTTTGCTCAGTAGAGCCTTTCTTTTTGCTCGTGTTCAAGCTTATGTAAATATTTTTTGCTTCATGATTCTTTGATTGAAATACAAAACAAATGCACATAGAAAGCACTAAATGATAGGCAAATGACGAGTAAAAAATATTTTTTACTTGTCATTTAGCTTCTTTGTTCCTACGCAAAATGAGGCAACTTTCCCTATTACTGTTTGTCCAGAAGCTTCCTTACCAGGAATCGTTTCTGAGTCATGAAAGTTTGATTTTTTTGGTGGGTTTAATGCTGCATCATTACAGGAATATTAAAAAAAGAAAAGTTACGAGTTTTATTTTGGTTTACTTTACCTGAATATGAGAGAAAAACTATTGTTTAAAGTACAGCATTCCTTAATTATATTTTAATACAGATAAAAGCCCAGAATATAACACAGTCTGTGATATACTTTAAGGCAGTAACGAGTTAGACATCCGGTTATTGCAAGGGGCCCATAATTAGCTGTAAGCTTTGGCAGCTGATTTATTAGTCAAATCAATTAATCATGTTCTCATAATACATAAAACCTTATGTAACATCTTTATCTTGTCTTTGGCAGCTAAGAACTGTGAGGAACTTCTTGTGCATAGCTTGCAGTAAAATCAGCTAAAAGAAAATGTATTTTGTTTGAATTGTGGCAACTCCGCATTCTCATGTAATTTTAAAACTTGAGGGTACACTTAGCCAAAAAAGTCATGAGTTGCTGTGTTCGTATCTATATGCTTCATGCACAAATAGCAGATCAAGACAGATTAGTGTGTCCCTTTGTGGGCACTCCCCAGAATAACTTTTTTTTTGTATATTAATTTGTATGCTATCTCATAAGTCATATCACAAGAAATGAAGGGTGCTGAATCCCAGTTATGTTGCTGAAAGTGACTCCTAAACTGGTGTTTGCTGGTCAACTCAAGTTTTACCTCATGCCTCAGAACAAAATAACATTTTGTTGGCAACAAGAATGTGGAATGCATAACTGGTAATTTTCTTTAATTTTGCAACCTAACATCAATCTTTTTTTTTTTTTCTTTACATGGGCAAATTGATTTGGCTGATGGTACATGATCTTTGGGAGAAAACTTTGCATTAGTTTCTCGTAGCAGAATGCAGAGGCCCTTACCGTCTGAATTTTGTCTCTTTTAACCAGCCGTTGGATCCTTTCTCAATGGTACAATTAGGAATGGACAGGCTCAGGTAAATATGGTTTGGTTCTTAGGTGTTTGTACGTGCTGTGTAGTATGAAGGCCTCTGATCAAGCCATCTGGGCTTCTTTGGGTCTTGCATGGTTGAACAACATTTCAGAAACCCAGCCTAATGTGCAACACAATTGAGGCTATCTTCTCTTGAAGGAAGGAATTATGGTTATATCAGGCAACCATGCTCAATTTTTTGTCGGTAGCACCATTATTGCACCAACTAAGGCATACATAAACCCAGAACAAATTTACAATGATGTGGCCTTTGCATAAGAACGAGGATGGGCAGCTGTGTTCTTTCCACTCTGCTGCAGTAAACAGTGGGCACAGGGCCAAGAGGTCTGTTCACAGGTTCCAGACTCACATTTTCCTTTTCATCGAGCCGAGCTGTTTCTGTGGGGTTGTTTCTGGCATCTTCCTGTGGCAAAAAAAAAAAAAAAAATTAGACCTGCATTTTGTTAGCTCTAAGAGTCTGAATGCAACAACCTTATCACCATATTCTTACGTGGGACATAAATTCTCTTTAGAAAACTAAAAAGAAAATGGTCATGCCAGCTGTTCTTAGCTCTCATGTTGCACTTAACATAGGTGGTAATGGCATGACAACCTCATGATCTGATCGGTAAGCTGTGTCAGCTATAACCATAACAACCAAATTTTAAGGTAGGCAAGTTACTAGTTACAAATCATTTCAGGTTATTTTGCTCCTCACTCATTTTTGTCTATACCAGTATGTCTGTGCCAAATGTAAGGTGTGCTGATTTTTTTTAACAAGAGGCAAGATAATGTTATCTGTCAGCTCATTTCTATTAGTAGTCAGTGAAGGGCCCTCCACTCAACAAGATTTAAGTGAAAATACATAGAAAGAAAAGTTGCTGAGAATAGGCTCAGGATGCATGCTTCCAAACTTCTTCCAAGGCTTCATTTCATATTGGTCAATGTGAAAAATTACATTTACAGGCTGCTTTTTTTTTTTTTTTTTCATTGGTACAAGGGCATTGTGGTCTCACTCTACACTAATGGTCTCAAACGCTTTTGAGTGTAGGGTCTGATAGCTCAAACCAGAAAGATTGAGGGCCAACATAGGGGGGGGGGGGGGGGGGGGGGTTAATAGATTTTAAGAAGAGACCACGTGTATTATGCTTTTTGCAAACTCACAGTTTTGCAGCGACATCTTTAGTTTTGATTTGCTTATATGACTACTTTTGGCCCTGACCTGATGTGATGACAACATTTAAAATGATAGCGCCTCGTCAACGTGCACAAAATTTTTATAGAACAAGGGGGCAAGTACACTATCGTTCCTGTTGCTCAATTCACTCAGGAATTAACCAAACTGAACATGTCTCTAAAAAAAGACAATAAGTTAATTTGACAGTTCTTGCTTCCATGACGATTTTGATTACAACACCCTGAAAAAATACTTGTCCTTTGGTAACGATTTTCTTTTTTTCTTTTAAGGCGCGAATTTTGAACTTGTAGCTTTAGCTTTGGCAGTTGCTCCTGCTGATCAAGAGGTCGCGCATCTGAGATGAATCCTTCCACAAAGAGTTCATGCTTGCAGCCTAGTAGCGGAATTGTTGTACATCACAAAAACCTGGGAAGCAAAAAATAAAGCGAAACAAAGGGCAAATGAACGCAGATAAGTAAAAACCCTGAATATGTTGAGAAACCAGAGCTACATTTCGAGCGAGAGTGAATCGGCGAGGTGAGATCACTATGGCACATGCCATTTCTAGCACTCGAGGCTCGTAGCCTGCTGTCCGCGTCACAGCGAGTCGCAGGCCGCGTGTTTGAGACCCCTGCTCTACACAATTACAGGATGTATTTGCTGTACTCTGGACAGCACCAATAGCCCCTTTACGAAACCCCATCAAGCATCATTGGAGGGTTGCCAAACTTTGGCAGCCCCCCAATGTTGCTAGAAGATTTTTTGATGCCCTGGACCTAGTGTTAGTTAATGTACAAGTAAAATGCAACGGGAAAATAATGGGGGAATGAAACAACTCACACTCAACAATAGACTGCTGCCTCATGTCCGACAAACTGTCTGACAGGCTAGGAAGTATGGAAATAGATGAGAAAAATACCAAAAATTTAGAGTGACCACAAAAGAATTAAGATTGAATTTGGCACACCCGAACCAGAGCGACAAGCTCAAGAACGAGCGGGTAAGCCGAAACTAAGTGAAGCTCAAATACAAGAGGTATCAAAAGTATTGAGAACATAGTAGTGAAACAACCACAAAGAGAATGGACGTTTGATGTTTTAAGACAAATCTTTAAAAGAGAATTAGAGAAGCATCAAATTAAACGAAGAGGAAAGCAAAAGCAAAGACAAACCAAAAAGCTGGTAGGGTAAGGAGGTTAATGCAGCCATATTGCAGAACCAAGAGGCATCCAGGGAGCATAGGTGGGCAAAAAAAATGGGAGCCTTGCCAGCTGAAGCAGCATCAAGATGGGAGAACTTCCAAGAGTGGAAAAGGGAGACATCAGCTTTAATGCAGACCGAAATTGGGAGTGCAGGAGTGCAGTGGATGTTTGAAATAAATAAAAAAAAGATAGGAATATGGCAAAAAGCTTTTGGGAGCACATTAAAGCGCAGGGGAGAAAGACAGTGTTTCCAACGCGTACTGACCACATAGGAGGGGAGAAGAATAGAGGGGGAAGAGGCATGGGAATATATTAGGCGGACAATCGAAGAGAATTTTTCCCAGCTTGTGCAGAGGGGGACAGTAGATAGCACTGACAGCCGCAGTGTAGACGAGCACAATTGTGTAACAATGGAGATGACCACAAGAAAATGGGATAAGGCAGAAAGTAAGGTTCCAGGAGGTACAGCGACAGGCCCAGATGGCATGCCCACAGAACTCATTAAGGCGCTAGGAAAACCGAGCAAATTGAAGTTATGGCATGTGATTTTAAGAGTGAAAGAATAAAGGGCACATGTTTCTTAGAAAATCGTGCATTGTTGGAGGAAAATTCACCGGTGTATTCTACTCGTCACGCGGAGAAATGGAAGATGGTTACTCAGCGAACGACCTATGGCTCTCAGATGCTTCAATTTACTCTTCCAAATTTGTTAAATGCTTTGTGCAGTAGTAGTGTTTCCCTTGAAAACTTGACTTTCAAAGACTTGTGTGGATATTTTTGTACATGATGCATTATTTTCATAAAACATTATTTGTTTTGTTTTTCTGTTAACAATACCTTCAGCTGCTACTGAATGAGATTTTCATTTTTGTTTCTCGATGCTTGCCGTTGACCACTGTAAGGGGACTGCATATCACAGCTGCATATCACAGCTTTTTTCCTCGGGCTCCCCCATCAAGATTGATGGAAATAAAGATATTATTATTATTATTATTATTATTATTATTATTATTATTATTATTATTATTATTATTATTATTATTATTATTATTATTATTAATCAAATAATTAGGGAGAGAGGTACCCAATGATTGGAAACTAGGTAAAATGAGACTAATATATAAAATCGGAGGAAACAAAGAACATTTAATCATGTCGCCCAATGACGGTAACTTCACTTCTATACAGGTTACTAGGCATCAGATAGTAAATCGGAGAATGGAGGAATGGGCAGAAGATATGCAAATACTGGGTGAGCTCCAAAACGGATTTTGAAGAGATAGAAGACTGGAAGATTTGGTTCTTCATAAGATAACCCTTTATGGATAGCTTATTCGCAGATCAAGGCAGCATACAATAATGTTATCCAGGAGAAACTTGGGGGTCAACTGATGGAGTATAACGTAGATGCAAATTTGGTTAAGTTTCTTCAGCCGATGTACACAGACAATAAGGTAGTTATAACATGGGAAGAAGAAACTACATAACCTACAGCAATAAAAAGAGGTCTCGGGCAATGCTGTTCACTGTCACCTCTACTCTTCATGACATACCTGAGTGAAATAAAAAAGAAATTGGAACAGAGCAACTTAGTTTTTGACCTGAGTTATATGGAAGGAAGAAGAAATGTAGTACAGGTAATACCAGGACTGGATGTATGTGAACAACATAGTACTTATGGCAGATAACCAGGATACGTTACAGGAACCAGCTGGAATATGTGGAGAGGAAGGGGACACCTTGGGGATGAGTTTTAGTAGTGACAAGTCTGAAGTAATGGTGTTTAACGACGAAAAGAGGAAACCCCTGAGGATAAAAGACATTGTAATAGACCTTGTAGAAAAATACAAATATCTGGGAGTCTGGCTCAAGGATCGAAGGAAATATCTAGAGGATCATGAGGAGAGTATAATTAGAAAATGGAAAGAAATTAATCTACTATGAAGCTCAAGGCACTAAGGAACTATAATAGATATGAAGCGGTCAGAGCTATATGGAAAGGAGTGATGGTACAAGGGCTGTCTTTTGGCAATGTGGTAGTGTGCATGAAATGAGAGGTTCAATCAGGATTAGAAATTCAACAAAGATGCGTAGGCAGATTGGCACGGGGAACACATGGAACAACACCAAATGAGTGAGTACAGGGGGACATGGGCTGGTCGTCTTTGGAGAGCAGGGAGGCAATTTGTAAGTTGAAATATGAACAAAAATTGACCGAAATGGATGATATGCGGTGGGCATGGAAGGTATTCAGGTATTTATACATAAAACGTTTAAACACAAAATGGATAAATCGAACTTGCCAGCTTATTTTTAAATACCTGCACACTATTGATGGCGCTGAGCAGACTACTTTGGTGGAAAAGGTAGTGAAAGAGACAGAAAGAAAAATGTGGGAGGTAAGAATGCAGGAAAAATCAGCTCTAACAATACACAGGTCACAAAACAGCGCATAAGAAAGGAACATGCGTTTGACAGTTCCCTGGGAAGTTCTTTGCTGTTTGAGACGAGAACGGGAGTTCTGAGGACGAGGACATATAGGGCTAAATTTCAGGAGACAGACCCATTATGTGCTGCCTACCACAATGAGGGCAAGGCCCTAGAGCACTTGGTTTTGAAGTGCACG